AAAGTTCATGTAAGGAAATTATTAAAAGGAGCAAAATCATGCGTTACAATTGCATATACTGCGTGTAATAGTTAGAAAAACTCTCGAAATAAAATTCTTGGGGCACTTGGTGCATTTTGATGAGACCCTTTTGGCATGACTGATAAGCACAATCTTTTTCTTCAGATATTCCATGCGGCAACCAGTGCATCCTCTCCAGCTCCCTTTCGGACCTTCAATTCTAATTGTAAATTCTTTTTGGAGAGCGAGGCTTTCCAAAAGCACTCTGAAGTAACGGTTCTACAAGTTTTAGCATAACAATGCTATCTGCCTCTAACCAATCCATCAAAGATTTGCGAACAAATTTGTCCCTTGATATTTGTGATATTTGTTTGGGTCTGGACCACAGAAGCCGTGAAGAATCAGAGATCAATTCAGCAGTTTCCTATTTTCTAACAGTTAGAGCCTAACAAAGTAACAGTGGATGTTGTTTTGCGCGCCCATTCTTTAAGATAAAGTTCCATCAAAATCCCACCGAAAAAGTGATAGGTCACCTACAGCGTAGTTCGCCGTTTTGTGCCCGGCTTGTCAACTCTACCTCGAACTGTCAACTTTGATGGAACTTTACCTCGAAAATGAGGTGTTAAAAGAAATTAATTTGCTCCTGAGACGGTGTGGCCCGCCGGCGGGCCACAGCAGGAGCCCTCGAAAAGAGCGCTCGATCCCACGCGCCAGACACGCTTAAAAAGCGCTGTCGCCAATGGACTAACTAGGACCTTTCCCGAAATAGCCGAATCTTTTTCAGGCCAGTGAAATCTTCATTCTTACGCGTTTGTTAGCTAAGGCTCAACCCCCACGTGAGGGACGCTGCGAGGCACCGCGACCTCGTGCCATTCCTCAGTCATACTTTGTCGTACATGCATGCCAGGAGCGATGACGACCTCCTCGCATTGAAACATCGATAGACAAGCAACTCAGCTGCTCAAAGCAAAATTACTTGGAGAACATCAACATTAATCAAGCCTTGTTTTCAGACGCAATTATATTTGTAGGTGGCAACGTATACCATACGGGTTTACTTTTCAATGACAACGTTGTGGCTTCAGAAAAAATCCTGAGAGGGCATTTATATGCTTAAAAGCACTGTTCACGTAAAAATGATTTCGGAGATCTGCACATGGTTTGAATTCGACGCCCCCTCTGATACCATCTGTGCAGGAGTGAGGTCGGAAAACGGTCTGGATAGGGCACAATAAGGGCAGGAACAGTGGGGGACGGGAGGCCTCCGCCCCTCGCTAGGCTGACTACGAAATCTAATTGCCGTTCATCACTTTCGCTTTGGGCCAAGTTGTCTGCTTGGGTGTGTTGTCTGCTATTGCAGACATTGCGTCGCCTTCCTGCACTCGCCCGAACACTCCCTTAACCGCCGTTCTTCCGATGTGAAACTCGTTCAACCCCCCTTTCCAGCTCTTTTTTGACCCTTTCTATTTCTTTTTGTTCATCGTTTTTTTGCGCTTTTTTCGTTGTTATCGCTTTATTCTAGAGTAGTTCTATGAATTCCCGTCAAAGAAGGGTGCCCTAAATTTATCGTAAACGGTGCTTAAGGTGAAAATGTAGTTGGAAGGGTCAGTGCGCTATGCTTAGCCTCTCCAGCGTCAATTGCTGGGGGCATAGAAGGTTGAGAAGCCGGTTTTGCAGATAACTAATGATGGCAAGAAACGATTCTTAGCTAGGGGATAAAGTTTCTAGCTTCAACTAGAGAATGGAAGGACATCGAATGAGAAGATGATGAGTGAGTGCATGCGCAAAGTTGAACTGGAAGAGGAATCGGTTGGAAGCATAGTCTAGCACAGCAAGTTCGTGCACAAATGCAACCAGACAAGTAACTTATCCATCTGCAGTCGATAACTCCTCTTCGAGCTACCACCGGCGTATCCAGCACATGGCTTGGTCCATAGTTTATATTTCCAAGTGATAGCCTTACTCAAAATGTAAACTATTGGCTAGGGCACACCACAGACACCCCTTTTGACTGGTGTGTTACCTCTGCACTGGCATGGTTACCATCTCACTCAGCAAACGGCAATTCAGACACCGAGTTAAGATGCACCCTCACCAAACCAATCGAGTTTTCGACACGAGCCTTTTATACTCTGAACGCGGTTGATCTGGAGCTGTGGGAGAAGCATGGAGTGCAGGGAAGGAGCGTACTGAATGTGGCGAAGTCCACATGTGCAAAGTGCCACGGGAAATAGCATAACTGGACCCAGTGCCCTAGTTCCTACATTTATTTCACACACATCTAGACTATATGTATCACAAAAACTTCTGTTTTGACGACGACGTTGCAAGCATTCCTGAAAATCGAAACGTCGCTTTTCTGTAGTTCCCTCGTATGGTTCTGCTGATCCTTGCCCATCCGTTGCCAATCTGACGACTTTTATTTGAACGCTTTCGTCTCAGCGTTCACTTTCTTAATTCGTCCCCCCCTCCCTCCCAAATTGGCTTCCTAATGTTGTATGTTTCGTAGTGTACAGGGGAACTAGAAGCCACTTCTACTCGCCATGCCTGTGTATCACCAAGTTACCATCTAAAATTGCAAACGGCAATATAATAACGATGCAGACTTGTGGGAATTCGACTTCAGTAATTTCACGGTTCAGGATGTTCGCAAGAAATGCAACCACATACATCATATACCTAAACTTACTGCTTCATGACGGACGCATCACGCACAACACCTTCTACTTCGTTTTATTGTTTGAGTTAATATTCCCATCATAGAGAAATTGGCTCATCGACCAATTCAACACACCGGCGACTCCTTTTTATACCTTTCGGAGTGGGCGGGGCAGCGAGAGAACGAGAGAAGAGGAGGGTGCAGAGAAGGAGAGCACCGAATGGAGCGCACTTTCTTCGATCGAGGTTCATCGCCGTTCATTTACTGGGTCATACGCCGTAAATGCTGTTTAGAGCTTTTTTTACTCGGATATTCGTGATATACAGTATATATGTAGTGAATTGGGCTTTTCATGATTGTGGCTTCAGACATCATCGACTCAGTCTCAACAGTTTCTCATGTACACTTATTTTTTCGTCGATATCATTTGCCTTTTCCGAACGTTGCACAGCTTCTCCTTTTCTGGATGTCTCTCCACTTGAACGCTATATGTAATTGTATGGATTGGATGAGCTTTTTATCTGTCTTCACTCATTGCCACTGAATTGAGGATGGCTGATCCGGTTTTTTGTACGATTCTGGAGGCCCTGTTTTTCAATTCTGTCACGGCATTAAAGAACGATTCTGGGCTACTACGATGGAGTTTGTAGTCTGCTCATACGCACTAAAGTTTGCCGCTAACGTCTCATTTGGTTTAACTTTCTATTACTATTTTCGGTTCGATGTCAGTGGCGGTTAATCTGAGAACTGTATTTGCATCTACAGTTAAAAGGCTATGCAGTACAGCAGCTCAAAATGCTCGTATCATTGATGAAGATGGTCCGGATTTGTCACAACGCTTGTTGGATTGCTTTCTTAAGCTGGAACGATTAAATGATTACGAATTCAGGTTAGTCTGTTTAAGATATGATCAACTGTTTTGATTTATATCTAATTACATACGTGTGGTTTCCTTTTTTCTTCTTCGATTCTTCGATTTAAAATTTTTTCGCCTTTTTATCTTATCGATTTCACTTTTTTTAACCGTCATGTACAGCCGTTGGGACTGTCAACTATCTTTTCATCTTTTTAAAAACTCGACTCACTACTTTTATTACAACGCTAGCGTACACCAAAGGCATTTGTCAACTTGAAACATTTGCAGTAACGTAAGAAAAGACTTTGTTCGTGAGCATAGTTGCGTAAAACGACAGGGAATGAAATCATCCAAAAATGATCCAGAAACTGTGCGCAATGAGACGGGTTCTGAACAAGTTGGAAGGGATTATATTCCATTGAACTGATATTATGCATTAGTTTGGTCCACTTCATTTTTGGATTGCTAAAGTGCCGCTGCTTCTGCTCGCTTTCGAAAATATTGTGTTTCGGGTCTTTAGATATCTCAAAACAAACTATTCGTTATATTATAAGGGCAGCTTGGGAAGTTACGTACAAAAGCCATGATAATAATGTTACTATATCAGCTTTTCAACAATTTTCTTAACTTTGATTTAATTTTTTGTTAACTGCTGCTTTATCGCAGCAGTACGTGATCCGAATGTCTCACAAGGTTGGCGATTTCTGGGCAAAACTTCAGTCTCGGACGGGACTAGAACCCGTACTTGTGCTTTACGTGCTTGCGCTCCCTTGTGCTTTAGGGATAGCTCTATACGGGCCTCGAACCCGTGTAGAGCTATCCCTTAGAGTACGGTGCCCGGAAAGCCGAAGTACGTGTTCGCTTCCCGTCCGGGACTGAAGTTTTGTCCACAAATTGCCAACCATGTGAGACTTTCAGATCGCGTACTGCGGCAATAAAATAGCAGTAGGCAAAACACCAAGTCAAAACAAGTTTTATCAAGTAAAGCTTACAGCTTAACGGTTCAGTGCTGATATTGGCCGACTGGAGCAACACGGGTGTTGTTAAAGTATGCCATATAAGCCATTAAAAGGACGAGGACAAGCGCACTATCGGAAGTGTAAGGGATAGAGCACGGTGTCCAGATAGCACAAGTACGGGTTCGAGTCCCGTCTGAGATTGAAGTTTTGTCCGCAAATCCCAACCTTGTGAAACTTTTCTTAGCTTTTTTAATATACTCCGTGCTTGCTCAAGTATAGAGTTTAGTAAATACTAGATTTAGTGAATACTTCCGCCTCAAACATCTAATGTAGGCTTCACAAGAAATCCTTACCTTCATATTTACTGCCTTGGTTCGCAACACCCAGGGTTAAGGGGAATGCTTCGTGAAGGGGATGTTAGAGTGGAGTTTCGAGGGGTCCTGAACGATTTTTTTTTTGAAGAAATGGATTTTGACAGAAGTTCCTTCTTCGAAAAGGCTCTCAGGCTCTCACATTACTGTTCAGATCAGTTCACTTGCTACGAGGACGCCGGTCATTCTCACACATTTATGGCGGACAAGTGAGTTTAACTGATTCTTAGAACTTGTTGTATTTTTGAGTTGTTTACTTGAACTTTCACTGAATTTTTGTATAAGCTGTAAATGGCGTTTTCGGCTTTATTAACTTTCTTTCATGATTACTATAGTTAGTCGCTCATTCTCTGAAAAGCGCTACGGAAACCGTAGATCGAGCACTTTCTCCTCATTCAATGCATTGCTACTTTGTAAATGCTGGTGAGTCTGAAGAAATTGTACTTGCAACTTTGAATTAGGCAACTCAAAACAGTTTAGGTTCCGTCCTGGAACCGGTACATTACAATGTGGATTGTATTCGCGATGGGAAAAGTTTTGCAACGCGATTAGTAAAGGTTGTTCAAAATGGAAAGATACTGTTTACATCACAGTTATCATTTCAAGTAAGTTTTTCTGGAAGCTGATTACAATGTTATTAGCAAACAATTTTCAAATATAATGCGACCGCATTTCGTAAAACGAGTTCTGTAAAAGTTATGATTTATTCTTATTCTGGTTGTATGGTAATTTGGAGCGAGAGCAGATGGAGTGTAGGTGTAGGCATATGTAGCCTCTCGGCCTTTAAAGCAAATGGCAAACTGATTTCACAACTTTTTGTAAACTATGGAAAGTCGTTGCGAAAGGAATTCGTTGGCGAGCTTTTGATTGTTTTCTGGAGACCTTGGCTGTTTGTGTTCCCTTTTTTACTCAACTGTCGGAACAACCACGGCGTGGGCCATCACCTACAGACCCGCAGTTCACGATAATGGTCCTCGCGATCCTTTCAAAGATGAACCTTTGTATTCAAGAAGGGCACGGTTAACATAGTTGGATCAGGAAACCACATAGAAAAGGCGTTCTGAAAACTCCAAAACTGGCTTGGCCAACTGCACGCCCAAATGTGGCCGTGTTATAACAGCCTCGTTAAAGCTGTACCGTTAACGGTGAAGCATTAGAATGCCGACGAATAGTATGCTTATGTGGAGACCGCCAGACGATTACAGAGGCATGGTCTCGTACAACACCCTTTTTTACTTTTACTTTCTTGAAGTCCCATATTTCTCGGAATATGAATTTCTTGGAGCGGTAGTTTATCTGTAATACAACCGACCTGCATCGCAAAACTAAGCCAGTATAAATGAAAACGCTACATGTGAATTGAGATATTGAGAATTTCGCTCCTTGTTGCTAAAGCGTTTCGTATATGGGTTGAAATTCAAGAGGAAAACAAGTAAACTAATTAAGAGGTATCATTTTAGCGCGAACAGCCAAGTGGTATGCGGCATGAGACGAAAATTGAAATGCCTCCAGGTCCAGATGGTCTTCTGACTGCACGGGAATTGATGAGAAATTGTTTGGAAAACTCAAAATCTGACCACATGACGCCTACCGAAGTTTTCAGTGCTTACAAATTGGCCGAATTCCCACCAACGTTTCATAGGATATACGAGGTATGTTGTAGATCTCATGATTGCGTTATTTCGATGTTCACATTTACATTCGCAGAAATATCAGTGCATATAAAGAAAAACACACGCGTACGACGGACATCTAACCTCCTCTATTTGTTTCTTCCTAGTTTGACGCGAAAATCTCGGAACACGAACAAATTTATAGTCCTTTACTTACAAGGATGATCGTTGCCCTTGTGACGTAGTAAAGTTACAAGTTCCCAGTGTGATCGTCAAGAAGACTCGACCTCGCGAATATTTATTAAGTGCCTCCTACTCGAATACCTCAGGTGGTTATTCGCCTATAAAACCCTACGATGAAGGTAGTCATAGTATCTTAATGGCGAACAATGCTTCACAGCCCTATCTTTTCTGAAGGAATGAAATTCTGACTTCCGGGTCTAAATGAAGTCGTGCAAGTGTGGATGCTAAGCAGATTCTTGACTTTACTAGAACCCTGGAATAAAATTTACATTAACATTTTAAGGCAAGACCTGTCGACCAGAAAATTTATCAGCCAGATTTGAATGGACCGCTGCATCGTCCTCAATATCACATGTGGATAAAACCTGTACTCGACGTGGGTGAGTTTTGAGCCGTAGTCTATCTTTTATTGAAATGTAGTACTCGCTTTTCCTCCATCATTATATGTAGCGGATAAATTATGTTTTCATAGCCATCGAAGGATCTTCTTTGATTCTTTTTATTGGTTTTCCCCTCACTTTCGCTAAATTTGGTCATACTCTGTCAGATCGCGAGTGTGGTTTACAAGAATCCTGATCGCAGAGAAGCTGATTTTCATGATTCCGAGATCTGCCAATGTTGATTTTCATCCGTCTGCTCTTCATGTACATATATACGTTCAGGAACGGATCCCTTGATGCATCAATACATGGCGGCCTATATATCGGATTCGACCATGGTGGAAACCGCTATATTACCTCATCTTGCAAGAGGATTTCCTATGAGCATGGTATTTTATTGAGTAACTTCATGATGTTGCTTTTGCATAGATGTCTTGTAGCCTATTGCAAATACAAAGATGTGAATTTAAGGCATTTTCTCTTGACCACTGCATTTGGTTTCATCAAACAAAGTTCAATATCAACGAATGGATGCTGTGGGAACAAACAAGCGACTTCGCTGGTATGTTTACTAAGAACTTTTTATAACAGAACCTTTCATGTCTATGACTACTTTTTGTAACGTAAGTGACCTCTTTTCCAAAAACTCGTGCTTGCTATATTATGAGTTGTTGTTTTTTATATTATTCACGAGGTTTGCATTTGCATCGGCTTCACTAGGCTGACGATTCTACGGAGCGCCTTCTTCGAAGCCTAAAAGGATTGTAACGATTTGTAACTATCTAATCAAACGTCTCCATTGCTTCAGTGACCCTCTTTACAAGCACCTCCGTGGGCTGGGGTCTCCACCTTTTGTGGGGCATTTGATCGCATAATTACAATTTGTTACGACCCTCTCAGGCTCTCAAGAAGGCGATATCGCCGAAACTACAGCCTAATTAAGCTCAAATACAAACCCCTTAAGAGTTCAAAAGAACAACTCAGTAATACAGCAGTTATGCCGTGGTTCATAGAAACCCGTTACTTGGGTTTAGTCCGAATGTATTAGGCAGGAAGGGAGAATCTTGTACTAACTCCGCAAGAAGGTAAGTTATTTTGCGAGTACTATTTTTACTTCTTACTTGCGCATAGCTTGTGTTTCACAATTCCAGTTGCCTAATTTTACTTGAAGTTTGAGAGGATTTCAACCATTTATGTGGTAACAATCGGTCGAACTATTACTTGCAACTATAATACGATCAGCTTTACAGAGTTGGTAAAATTGCTGTTAATTTTTTTTAGGAAACTCTCGAACCCACACCCGGGCTAGGTTATGGACTCAGACGGGTAGTTTGGTGATGACTGCCGTTCAAGAAGGACTTGCTCGACCTGTTCGCAAGAACGCTTAGGTATTAACAATACTAAACATACTTATATAGTGATGATGATTGTAGCAGCAGAGATTGTAGCTTCTATTGAATAAACCCGTAACTTTCTGTGTCTGTTCGGTGTTTTTCCGTGCAACGTCGCACGTGCGTTGAGGAGGCGGTCTGTCTCGTGAACTCGGTGAGGAAAGTTACAAGAAAAACCAACGCTGAAAGTGTTCGCAAGTCAACCTCAACTGTTTGTGTCCCTTAATCAATACCGATCAATTTGTGATGTCACTGATTAGGAATCATCACTTCCCGCGTTTTGGTCGCGAAATGACGTTTAATTTTCAAGAAGTAGAGCATGTAGAGTGAAAAAAAAACTTCAAGTTAACATCGATTGGTGCCGATCAATCAGTAGCGATCGGTAGTGGCATGTATTCTCATCAACTGTGTTATACCTATCATCAGTCGAAGGCATCGTATCCCGCGTATCTGACTACGAGAGTTTCTATGAACGATCGATCCACCGTCATAGGAGTTATAGATTTTGTAAACAGCATTCCAATCCTGTTCAAACATTCCTAGAGCCCACAAGTCGAATGCGTGGGCGCATCCCTCAGGCGGGATTGATTAATACCCTTGGATTTTTATCATCTTCAAGTGCTTGAAGGAAGATTATGAAAAGATTCTACAGAATCTCCCAGTTCTTCTGAAACATCTGAGCATAACAAAAACTTCAATCGAAAACGCACACTGGTCTTTCCTGTCAGAATTCTCTTGGCTTGAATGCATGTTGGTAAGCGTAGCTTGAGCGCTTACAGGCACTCGCGCTGCGCGTTTACACTCCATGTCGAGCGGGAGGGGTTTCAGTGGGCATGCGGGCGATGGTGAACGCGGAGATGAAGCGCGTCAGGCACGAGTTCCAACGTACATTGACTGCAATGAAGCGCCCTTGATGGTGCTCAACGCTGTTTTTCGACTTATGCCGAGCCCTTGCTTTTTAACAAAAATGGGGAATAGAGCTGAAGTTGTCAGTAAGTTGACTAACAGCTTTAAACCTACCTTTATGCGGCATTATCTATCGAAAATCTAAAATTAAAGAGAAACTCGAAATAGTTTGTTCGCCCTATAAGCAACAAGGAAGACCATTAGATTATACTGACCATATTTCGACAGGGCAAAAGCATTCATGAGCTCAGGGTCAAAATATAGTTGGAGGGGTACACTGCACTATACTTCGCCTCTCCAACGTCAATTACCAGAGCCGGAGAAGGTTAAGGCACCGATTTTGCAGATATCTAGTGGTATCAATTCTGAGCCAGAGCGGTAGAGTTCTTAGCCTCAAAATGTGGAAGGGAAGGAGTCGAAATGAGGAAAGTAGTACCTTCAGGCGCAAAGTTGGGGTGGAAGCAGAATTGGTCAGTAGGATACTGTCTCATTAAGAAAGTGCAGACAAGGACGCAAAAATGAGTGGCCCTTCCCGACAGCATATGGCTTAGTTAGTGGTTTCTATTCCCAAGTGATAGCCTAACACAAAATGCAAACCACTTGATAAGGCACACCACAAACATCGTTTTTGACTGCAGTGCTACCTCTGTACTGGCATGGTTACCATCTCAATTAGCAAACAGCAATTTAAACACTGAGATAGGATGCACCTGCACTAAAATGATGAAGGATTCGACGCGAGTCTTCTATACTCTGTGCTGGATGTACGAGTCTGATCTGGAGCTGTGGAAGATGGGAGAAGAATAGAGTGCAGGGAAGGAGCGTACTGAATGTAGCGAAGTCCACATGTGCAAAGTGCCACGGGAAATAGCAGAACTATACCCAGTGCCCTAGTTCCCACATTTATTTCACACACATCTAGACTATATGTATCACAAAAAACGACTCCTATTTTGACGATGACGTTGCAAGCAGTCCCAAAACTTGAAACGCCGCTTTTCTGTAGCTCCCTTGAATGGTTACACTGATCCTTGTCCATCTGTAGCCAGTCTAAGCACTTTCATTTCAACGCTTTATTCTCAGCGTTTGCTTTCTTACTTCATTCCCTCCAAATTGGCGCTGCATCTGTACGAGTTTCGCCTCAGTACTTTCGTATGTACAGTAGAACTGCAAATAGACACCACTTTTCCTTGCAGTGCTACCTGAGTATCTACAAGTTAACATCTAAATCTGCAAACAGCATTGTAACAAAATGAATGACAAAATGACTTGCGGGAATTCGACTTCAATAATTTTCATGGTTCAAGATGTTCGCAAGAAATGAAACTCACAGTTCATAGACCTAATCTTACTGCTACATAACTGACGCATCATGAACACATCCCTCTTGCTTCGTTCTCTTGTTTCTCTTAGTTTCCTTAACCCTTTGACGACAGCGCGCCTTTTTGCGTGTCTGGCGCGCGGGACAGACGCATTTCGAAGCTTTCCGCTTCCGCGGCTCACCGTTGAGCCGCGTTGTCCCACGGGTTAGACATTTTTCTAAAGTGA